GCTGCAGCCCCTACCTTCTCACTGGCCTTTACTTTTACAAATTTCATACTTTCTTCCTTTTCCTTTCTGGCTGCTGGCTCAACAACAGTGGCACTCACCTGATTTAAAATAAATAATAAATAAATAAATTAATAATAAATAATAAATAAATAAATAATAATAATTTGGTTGGCAAAAACATTTGTTTCGAAGGCTGTCTTTTCCCGCCGCCGAGTTATACAACTTCCTGTCACCGCCGAACATGCCGGGCTGGTATGGCAATATCTGATCCCAAATTTGTCTATTATGCCACCGGGCCGATCCCATTAGAACCTTCGAGATTGCTTTTACTTTTTGCTTCATTTCTGTGGTCTTCACAAACAGGCCAAGTCCGCCTTTTTTCGCTGATCTACACGCGTAATGTTTCACCAGTGAACAATCTATTTGGAGAGCTCCACATAATGGATGATTTAATGGGACTGGTCAGTGCTGGCAGCCTTGCCCTCAATACAAGAAAAATGTCGCACTTAGTGGCGAGCTACTGTTTCGGCTCAAGATCCCATACAGAGTAATGTTCCCCATACCATCTGTTATTACTGTAAGATAAAATTGATCGACGTTTTTTTCTCTGGAGCCTTTCTTTTCGTGGCTTTTTGTGCAGAGGTTCCTTACTGTATTTCTATGAACGTGCGTATCTACGGTAAATACTCCAATTCAGATTCCAGAAGTCTTAACATTATTGAAAGTGAACTCGTCGTGGCCATGATTGGGTGCGATGCGTCCCGTCCCAGGGTACAGCCTGGGTGCAGACAGCGAGGTATACAGATAATGGGGTCGGTCTGTAGGCTAATCCATTGGTTGAAGCCACCTTGTTGGTTGGTTAGAAGACCATCCAGTGAATCTCAGATGGGCTCCGTTCGAACTTCATTCTACCACCTTTTGACCCCTTTTTTTAGATAGTCCCTGGCAATGGATGGTCTCACATTTGCCGATGGTACAAGGGAAGGGACGCTTTGCGCATAATGACTATCCCGGCAATTGTAGTCGGGCCGGACTCGGCGTTTTTTGCACATTCGCACGTGTACTAGCAAAGAGAGCGTGTACAATTAACGCGCCTACACAGAGACTCTAAAAATCTCTCACTAAGAAACGGTAAAGCAAAAGTATCCCGAGGTTTTGGGCGAATTTTCAAGAAAAGTTATGGTTTTTTTTGAAGTTCTCATCGAATGTATAGCCATAAAGTCTTTCGAAAGTGTAAGTTATACAACTTCTGACATCACCAGGCATCAGAACTCCTATAAAAGGCGGATTAATGGCATATATCATTTTACCGTAATAACTTGCCTTCAAGTAGCAGCAACTACCACCTGTAACGATTTTTCCTTATATGGAGAGATCTTTCTGCAAGTGCTAACTGCAATATGTTTTCAAGTCTTCCACGGTAAAGCAATGAACTGCTCCTTGGACTCTACCCTTTAATTCGAGTCAGGTATTACTTCAAGGGCTAGACCACGGAGTGATGGGCTCAAAACTTCAAGGAGAAATTTAACTTTGCGAATTATTCACAACAATTTAGTGTCAGGCAGAAATCCTGGTGCTGCTTAACAGTTGTCTACCTGTGTCAACTTCCCCTTTCATACGCCTTCCAAAGGCCAATCTTTTCATCCTGACGAGTCAAGTTGTTTATACCAACTTCGTAGGAGGCTAAAAAACGCCTGAATTCTTGACCTTCGTAAGTCCTTGCAGAGGCTTTGGCATTTGAATTGTCACGCTGTTCTGAACATGAGTAAAATGCGAGGTGCATCCCTAAGAAAAACTTTGAGTGAGACGAGTTCCTTATCATTAACTTTTATTTATCTAAATTTTTTCGAATGTTTTATTGATTCTGTGTTGAACAACCTGTGTTCTTCCCCTGGAAATCCGCAGGTGGTTTTTTTTCTAGCTCGTACGTCATAATGACAGATGGCCAGTCTTCAACTTGAACGAAAGGGAGAAATTTCGTGGGTAATCGTACATCTCCCTCATTGCCCTGCAATTTGCGGCGAATATTCGTAATCCAGGTGCGTTGCGACCTCTGCGACAACGCTTAGAATGCCCCATGACCGTCATTGGGGCAAATTTGGTCTTTTTTCCAATTCTGCACGCGCGCCCGATCGGGGTGCACAGATGGGAGATTACCGTACGTGCAGCAAGGAATAAGAGACCGAGTTTGGCCCATTGGCCCATCGGCCCCCACTGGTGCGTGTATGTTAGCGGCCATCGAGAGACAATGAATCATTGGACATGGGTCAAGAATGGCAACATTGTCAAATATCAAAGAAACCATAAGAAGCATTGAAGGTCAAATTTTATCTATTTTTCAACTCGGTGAAAGTCTGGCCATCAAAGAATGATAGTTTCAACTGACATCGCAAAGTCTATTGTTCCTTTTGTCCACACTACCGAAGGCAGTTTAGCTCGGACAAAAACACAGTAACACCTCGGCTGTTGCCTTCTGCTACATCTGAACACATGACGTTTTCAATTAGAAAACGTCTTGATGACAAAAACTAACAGCGTTCCTGCGACTCGGCGATTTTCCTTTTCTGTACTGATGACTTCTCAAAGGTTCTATTGAGATATCTTCCTAATGCCGGAATCAGCCACTTACAGTCTGTACCATTGAGTACTTCCCTACAATACGCACTTATCGTTTCTGAGTGCATTGGTCAGTTAGCCGGAGAATATCGTGAGAGAGCGACTCCATGCGAACGTGTGTCTGGGCATTCGAGATCCACATCGACCTCATAGCGATCGCCATAGCGCATAAACATCGTCTGTGAGATCGCCGTGCACCCAAAAGGCACTCATTCCTACGTTCAACGTTGTGAACGGTAGATTGCCGTTTACAAAGGGGAAACCTCTAGTAATTTTATTTATAAAGTTATCAAAGAGACCACGTAAAGGAGAAATTTCAATAAATTGTTCGCAGTAATGTGTAATACGGGTAGGAGCAGTACATGTAGTTGTACATATCAGAAATGGAACCCAGATACCATTGATATGGTGGGGTAAAGTATGATCCGACAGTCTGCGCGCTTTCATTCCGATCAGAAATGCAAATCGAGGCGAATTGGCTCACAGAAGCGTTTCTAAGCATGCGCCACGCAGGCGCACGTGTGCTCGGCTTATTTGAGGTCCTCTAAAGACCATTTTGAGTGTTCAGGGTCTGTGTGAGTACGACACTAAAATCGTTTCTCCAATGCTTGTACGAACGTTATTCCTTCAGCAGCCTGGCCGTTTAGCAGTCAATTAAGTAATAAAGGAAGTTTTGGTTAGCCACAAGTGACCTTTTGTTCTTGTCATCTTCTTCCTATTGTTTATTTCTTAAGAAATAAGCAACAATGGGCTTCTCTCACTTTTGTCGGAATGGCGTTCCGGTTTGGGTGTGGACAGAATTGTGCCTTGTAACTCTGTTTCTTTGGAGCGTAGTAAACGCCAGATATCACAAAAGCCTGAATAAAAAAATCACAGTAAACAATTGAAAAGTCCTTCGGGCGATGTGAAAAATTTGTGATTTCTGGCCGCTGAACTCCGATAGCATATTGCACTATTGAGAGTGTCCAATGCAAACGCGAACATATTGTGCAAACAAGTGCTAGGCAAATATCCAAACAATAACTAACAAAAAATGGTAAATAACTCAAATGTTTACGGCTCTTTAGATATTGAAAAACCACCAAATCGATGAGATAAAAAACCATGATTGACGATATAGGGGCATTCTTACGGTTTCCCTGTATCTACATAGCCCAGGACAGGACATCATCAGAAGGCCTATAAAATGCAGCAAATAAGCTGAAGCTGCAAGGAGCTGAACATAATAAAACATAACGTGGTTCACCCGCTCTCAGGATCAGAGTTGACCCCGATCCGCCTTTTCAAAAACAGGGCGTTCTTCTCTTGCTTGCGCCGGTTTTTAGATCGAGTTTTTCGCTCCTATTAGCTTTGATCCCTTGATCCTCATTAAGACCCTAGATTTTGTTGCAAAAGAGAAGAAGAGGATCATACGCAGCAAATAGCAATCGATATGTCCAAAATTTTCACACACTTTCGACTGACAATACCTTGAAATTGTGCTGCTAAGCTAGACTGTAGTACCGTGTTCGCGCTCCATCGTAGGCCAGTGGAGCTCTGTTAGAAAAGTTTTTTCAACGTTCAAAATGTTTAAAATCGGATGGAGTGGTAATCTATCACGTTTAACACCGGCACAAACACAGCTGCAGTAGTATAAAACTATACAAATCGAAAGACTATCGTTTCCACCTGGTTCTTGCTAGCAGTATGAGCGCAGCTTCTTCGTACTCATGTTCATGGCTATGGCGTGCAATCCAAACTTCCGGGGCCAATCTCGGGTCAGCTCATGGCTTCACCAGCGCGGACGCGTTCGCTTCCGAGCTGGCCGCTGGTTGTTCGAGGCGAACTCCTCCTCTTTTATACATCCACCCTACGCCTGAGACTTGGTTATCTCTCCAGTGTTGTCGATATGCATGGCGTATCGAGCACCGCGCGTGCTTCGCCTGTTCACCCTTTAACAGCGCATACCGTAATCGCCTTTCACGCACGACAAGGCGCCTGGCGGGACTGCTTTCAGCACGTGTTTCCGACCGCAGAAACGATATCTCGAACAGTGCCTGTGTAACAGTTGCCCTCGGTGATCGTCTCTGTACGGAACACGTTTTCGATGTCTTTGCCATTTCGTGGGTCTTTGTTCGGCAAAACCGCCAACTACGTGTGTGAATCTTTTTGGCCGAACTGCCCGCTTAGAACTCTGCGCCACTCCCTTCAACTACTTCGGCGTCTTCTCGATGGACCTCTCAAGCTCCAACTTGGTAGGCCCTCAGCAATCCGTACTGAAAGCTGTTATAGCAATTCTGAGGCGCTGAAATGATAAGGCAGCATAAAACATTCTTCCAAGCTCTACCAATCTTACGGAGCCTTCTTTACGGGTCATGTGGGCTCCAGTTCAGGATCCTTCATTAATGCAACAGCTAATTCATCTTGCCGCTTACATACAATCGGCGCTATTGGCTTACTTGTCAATGTCTTTCTTGGATGTACAGGCTCTGGGTGGGAAATTAATTCACCGGCTAGCGTTATCGCTGGGTACGGGATTAGTGCGGGGCGGGGGGATTGGCGGCTCCGCAACTCAATTTTTTTTCATGGCGGCAAAACATCGTTTTGTGATAAAATTTGAACCGAAGCCGTATACAGGGAAGAGGATCCCCACTGTGCGTGCGCGATTTTCATTTTCCCTGAAGTTTTTGCAGCTTCCTAGGCTTAGCCCTAGAGGATACCTCGTACCTTGCGATAGCGATAGCGCCTAGCGGCCTGCTATTTATCTCGTTTCATGCTTAATTGCAGTAAGTAGTTTAAATGAGATTGACTTACTGTAACTGACATTGAACGTGTCTCGCTCCTGCGGTGGTGAACCGAGCCTTTGAGTAAAATAATGGGGTCGAAATGTCAAGCCGCTAGGTAAGGTTTCCACCTAAAGAGCTTTACGGCACAAGAAATATGTACATCAAGAGGAACATCAGTACCGTGGTCTACGAGAGAGAATTTAAGCTCCGCCTGATCCCCATTACAGTTTGAGGCGCTATCGCAAGTTACGGGGGCGTTGTGACAGTAATGTATAAAAAAGCGGAAAATATCTCCTTTTCTTTTTTCGTCGAGGCTAAGCTTTGAACGGGGCATGAAAGGACTCTGACGTGTATAAGCCTTGCATTTCCCCATAAGTTCCTTCCCCTTTCTAACTAAGCTTTGTCCATGTGGATGCTCCCGCACCTTTCAATAGCGCCCAGATTGAGTTCCTTCACAGACGACTTTCCTAGGATTTTATGGGTCTCGAACCACTTAATATCAACAGTTTTTTCAGTACATTTGTCCTCTCTATGTTAAATAACGACACGCTGTGAATCGCCTTTCAGAGAGGTTTCGAATTCACCCTTTCTATTGCAGTCTTGCTCAGTTCACTGACTTGTCGCTCGATAATCGTTCACTTCGCCTCAATTTCTACTTGGCAAGTGAGACCGAATACAGACGTTTGCAGAGAATGGTACTTTTTTCTACAGAAACGAGTTCTTTTTTGTGAAACGAAGCTTCAGTAATGAACGCTATTAAAAGAAAAACTTGCAATACGACGGAATTAGAGACTAAAATAGGATAATGGCGGTTAAATAGCCCACGCCATGAATTAGCAGGCGTTCTCGCTCAGTGGTTTCGTCGTTATAGCTTATGAGTCTTCTCCTAAATGCTCCTTTCCATGAGGACCGGTTATTGCTTTAGTCTCCTAACCATTAGCTCGACACGTACTGTAGATATTTTTAGAGATGTTAGCATTTTTCTATAGAATTTATTTGAAAACTCCTGGACGCAAAGGTGGTGAGCGAGAGAACCCTCAGTACGGCTGATCAAGAGGCCAAAACAGCCGTGTTTGAAAGCAAGGTCGGGCTGAACTTACAAAAAGTTATGAGGTTACCGAGGTCCACCGGCAGTGGCCGACCACTTTTGCGGCCTCCTGACAGCGTCACTGAGACGCTAGGTGCTCGGGACGTGGATCATACCACGCCCAGAAGGATCCATGCCCACCCATCGTCGATATCTTATTTGCGTCACACTTTCGACCTGCTATGCTCACTGCCTTCTCGAACGTCTTTACTCCTCGGGGGCTCACATTATCTCTTATCTCGCAGTCTGCTTTGTAAACTTCTCCACAGTGTAACTCAGAGAGGTGATGTTTTCTGGCTCCATAAATATTTCTTTCCCTTTCTCCAGTTGTGGTCTACTTCTCGTCTCCACCATTTACGAGAAAGGTGACCACATCAATTTGATCCCGACCCTTGTTTTTAAGTCCATGAGTTGGCAAGCGCGAATGCTTAATGGTTTCTTTGTTACAGCTCGTGAGTCTTCCTCCTTTGGCGTTCATTTCGATGTGTACCGGTTGCCCGTCTTTTGGTTTGCAATGGGAGTTGGTGAAGAAAGTAAGAAGATGGAACTATAGTGAGATAAACCGAGTCTCATGAAAGGTGTCGTAACTCGCGTCAGAGAGCTGCACCGCAGCGAATAGAGGAATAGAACACACGCGACGACCTAGTGTAGCCAGATAGACTGCCTCCCGGGTTTCCACCGTTATATATTCTCCTTAATGCCAAGAGTGCAATAAATCCACCAAGTGCAAAAGATACCATATCGAGAATGCGTAGCCCTCGCTCGTCGCTTCTTGAACTTTTGCCATAAAATTCCAAGGGACATGGCTGTCTTTCTAGACATTCAACAGGCCATTTCTAGCATCATACGAAGTCAAGGCCATGCTCAAATGATGTATATCGTGCAATAGAGTAATGAACATTTACTACATGTATCGAGGAAAGCTCATGAGCATTAAGGTTTTCTTTATGATTTAAACCTAATTGTATTAATTCAATAGGCATTAGTTATTCCTAATTCAGGGGGTGGGAGTTAAATTTTATTTATATTAGTTAATTTTATATAATATATGATAATATATAATATATATAGTGTATTTATTAATTATAATTTTTTAAAAAATTTAATAAGAATTTCCACTGCTGAAGACAAAAATTCTTAAATTTTTTTTGGCCACGGCGAGGTTGATAATTGGAACATTTGTTGAATGGCCTCGACGTTTCGACCTTTTTGTCTCCTTCGAAGATCTGATGATAGCTCAAAGCTTTTGGTTTGAAAGCTACGTGACCTAGGGTATCTTCCCCTAGCGTATCCGAGCTGCGACGTCGACAGCGCTGGAAAACACCTCGGATCACACAATACGGTATGAGCCGTCAACCAAAGGTGCGACCAGTACTCCGAGCATTAGCTCACGCTCTGTTAGTAAATTTAGCATAGGGAAAAGGGCCTCACTATAGTCTCATACTGTAAGTCTCGTAGACGCGCCGTAAAGCACGTAGGTCATTTTATAAGTCAGATTCTGGATCAAAAAGCAGAAAATCAGTGTGGTAAGATGTCCGTCAGACTCGGCGATTGTGCGGAGCGTGGAGCGACCGCATCGGCACAGTCGCGACAACTACTCGACAAGCACTCGTTTCGGCTATTCGTTCTTTTTCGTGAATCGAAATGGATTCCTGATCACTCCGTTCAAAGAGTTCTCCGTTAACCAGTGGTAGGGTCAATGGGGGTGCATGATCGTCATGTCACCGCATTGTTGCAATTTATGTACGGACGACATGGCAAAAAGTTCCGATGTAGGTCACTGTAGCACCGGTCTGTCTTTGCTGCTGTTGAATAGCACAGAAAGTAAATGGGTTACTGTTTGCGCCATTTATATCTGTCCCTAAATGCGTACAAACGCACACAGAGACAGGTTCCACTCCTTAATAACGTTGATGTGGTCAGTGTTGGTTAGTTCGTTTAATGTGTGCTGTTCGTAAATGTGTTCTAATCGAAACTGTGGGCGCTGGCGAAAGCGCTAAGGGTCAATCAGTTCCACCGAGTCGTCCATGATTTGGTCAGTGCATTTCCACTACAATCTGGATCTTTTCTTATGGTAGGAGTGGGAAGATCGGAACTTCCACCCATAGTATGGCGACAACCGCGCCTCGGACCATTGCGCCATTGCATCATTCACATCGCTTCAGTGATCACTGTTAGAACAAGCACGTACCCTCCTGACATACTCAGCTGAAAAGTTCTACTGTGACGTACTAGTGGTAACTAGACGTCTAGGTTACATAGATAACCTTAAAGGCATGGGTCGCAATAGATCATTATGGCAGTTGTCTCCGTGAGTAAAGTAGCATGAACCCTAAGCGCGTAGATCGTGACTCTGTGGCACCACTAAGGTAACAAGGGCAACGGCTAACCACTTGACCACGACCGCTGCCATTTCTACGCTTCCGCAGGGTACCCGACAGGAGGCCCGTCGCGCGGCAAGTCAGCGGACGAGTCGCAGCGCGTACTGTAGTGATTTCGCGTCAAGTTAAATAGAATGTACCATTGTACGTCCTACATCGCACATCACGCGCTGCGACTCGTCCGCTGACTCTGCCTTCTTGCCGCGCGATGGCCTCCTGTCGGATGGACTTTCCGCGGTGTCTGCGCTCTCTCGCACGATGCGCTCTTTCACTTGAACCTTCTCTGTATGCATGTTTCTTCCCACCCCAGCTTCACAATATGACGAGGCTCTTTAATTTTCAACTATTTTCTGAAGTTTTTTTTTCTCAATAATGATCTTCGCCGTTTTTTTTTTCTGAGCGGAATGACACAGCAGCACTTCGGTCGCGATTAGAGCATGATGAGCTAAGTGTGCAATGCGCTGACCTCGTTTACGAGACCTGTACCCGCCCTTATGCTTTCTGAGCGCAATGCTTATCCATTTCAATATCAAGTTCTTACGCCACCACTCAGTTTTCAATCAAGATTCGAGTGGCGAAGTGTGGCGAAAACATCAGTTCACAAAACAAAACAAATATGAGCTTCAACAATATTTTCGTTGCCCAATTAGCCCAGCCCACGTCGCCTGACACTAGCAACTTGTTCAAGTTTCAATTACTACTAGTTAATTATGTTATTTGTTCCAATACCATTGATAGTATCGTTGTTATTGGAGAAGTGTTATTCACCTCAGGACAGGTTTCGAAGTCGCAGAATGTTGTTCTAATGTTTCCGATGTTCTCGATATCGGCGAAAAATCAATTAGCACTCAATGCTTGTTGCTTTGAAGTGGAAACTTTCTCTTTGAGTGCACGCGACTTCAGAAAATTTTTTCCAAGGATCTGATCAGCAAAAAATTATGAACTACCGGGATAGAGCCAGGACGGTTAATCTTTTTCAGCACACAAAGTATTTCTTAGACTTCTTTGTAGACGTTCCTGCAAATAGCGTCGGTTGGGTCCCAACTAAACCTGGATGATTCTTTTTGAGCCAGGGTTTAGACGTATAGTTGCGGTCAAAAGTGTTCGCTCAAACTCTTTCGTGCATTATTTTTTCTCTTTTAAAAAATGCCGCTTCTAATATTTAGTAAAAAACATGCCCTTTGAAGGCCTTCAAAACCGTGACTCTTGAAGAGTTCACATACTTGAAGGGAAATGCTT